GGGGGGGGGTAATACGGGTGTTGGGGGCAGTTTGGGGGTGTTGGGGGGGTGTATGGGGGTATCGGGGGCCGCTATGGGGGTGTTGGTGGTCTTATTAGGGGTTCTGGACCCCCTTTTTTTCTTTTTTTTTGGGGGTGCCGACGACCCCCGACCTGTAGGTGCCGACCAGTCAAGGGCCGCTGACTGTCGGGGGGTGCAACCCTGGTAGCCATGTTGAAGGCCATCTGAATTTAGGTCTGGAAGATGCAGAATTCCAGGAATTATTAGCATGCTTGCACCTATGAAGGGTGTGCAGTGGCTTGTCTATTTGTTTCCTCTTTTTTTTCTCTCTTCGACGGGTAGCCCCGGACTTTATTCTATTATCCGAGTGCATCAGGATTTGAATTCGTGATCTGTTTACTAACAGTTATGTGTGTACCATTCAGCCACATGGGCGAGGACCTCGCAGCGGCTTCTGAGGGCTGATGATCTCAGAAAGCAGCCAGATTCTTGAAAGTTCTAGGTGTTAGGTCCTGAGCTCAGGGTTTAGACAGAATTGGTAGCAGTTGTAGCTTCGCAGACCTTTCTTGCTTTTCAGGGTTTATTTGACAGGATCTTATAGTAGTCCTGAGAGGAAAGATGGAAGCAGGGCAAGCTGACAGTCAATCGTCCACGATGTTGGAGCAATCAATGCTGTTCAGGGGTCCTTCGGCCAGACGGAAGGAAGCGTGAGGGTGTTTTTTGATGATGTAACGTTTTATTCTGACTTGCCGGTGGAATAGGAACCGGACTGATGCTTCCCAGAAGGAAAATGGAGCCAGGGCCATAAGGACCTGTTATACTGAAAAAGAAAAAGAAAAAAAAGCAAAAAAAAAAGTCCTGAGCTCATGATCTGTTCAGCCACATGGGCTCTAAGTTGCGGTGGCTTGTGAGGGCTGGCTATCTCAGAAAGCAGCCGCCGTCTTCTTGACAGTTCTAGGTGTTAGGTCTTGAGCTCATGATCTGTTTACTAACAGTTATGTGGGTACTATTGAGCCGCATGGGGTTAGGTTGCAGAGGCTTGTGAGGGCTGAGTACCTCAGAAAGCAGCCAGGTTCTTGAGAAGTTCTGGTTGTTAGGTTTTGAACTAATGATCTAACAGTCATGTGTGTACCATGCAAGCGACATTGGCTACGTGCGGCGGCTTCTACGGGCTGATGATCTGAGAAAGCAGCTAGCTTCTTGAAGTTAGAATGGATCCTCCCTGTCCTTCGGGACATCCGTTGAAATCGGAACGATACAGAGAAAGAAGATTAGCATGGCCCCTGCATAAGGATGACATGAATTGATCGAGAAATGGTCCAAATTAGAAAGAAAGACGAAGAAAACAATGGGGACTGTTGAGCACTTGGCGGCAGAATTTGGGTCTTACTGTGTTCAGTTCTTCAGGTTATCATTCGGCGATCTCTCGTCACGTCTTTGGTCGGTAGTTGCTTTGCAGGTGACGCAGGGCGCAGTCTGAATGCAAGCTGTTGCCTTACGACGCTCTTAATGGCAGTTGGATTGGATCCCAGTGCAGAGGAGTGGAAGTGTGGAGGGCCTTTGCTTGCTGTGTGTCCCAGGTAAACTGCGTTCGGATACCAATTCACAGAAATATTATACGTTGAAATACGAAATAGTCCGCACGCAGAATGCGATCGGGCCGTTTTCTCTAGCTCCATGTCCGTCGTGACCGTTCAGCTAGGTCAGTGCGGGAACCAGATTGGCAGCCAAGTCTTTCAGGCACTAGCCAGAGATGGCATGGGTCGCGGCGGCGAAGGCCGAGCACGAATCGGTGGTGGTGGTGGAGGTGGTTTCAAAGGAAGCTATGGCGAGGGCGAGATTTGGGAAACTTTCTTCAGAGAATGCGAGATTGATGATCGCAGGAGCGAACGGTCGTCCGGCCATGCCTCTGGAGGTGAGGCAATTGCAAGAGCAGTTCTAGTTGACATGGAGCCCAAGGTCGTACGCTCCGTGATGAGCAGCGTGAGGAGTTATGAAGGATGTCCTTCCGGCTGGGCGTATGGCGATAACAACTTCTTTTCTCGAGACAGCGGGTCGGGAAACAACTGGGCCCGAGGATACTATGTCCATGGTCCGAGGTGTCGGGATCCGATAATGGAGGTCATTCGACGAGAAGTCGAGGCTTGCGATAATTTTGGAGGTTTTCTCTTGCTGCAGAGTGCAGCAGGTGGAACTGGTTCTGGCGTTGGCGCCTACATCGCAGGTGCTCTGAAGGAAGAGTACCCCTCTTCTTGCCTGCTTAGCCATTGCGTTTGGCCGTACGAGAGTGGCGAGGTCATCGTGCAGAGTTACAACGTGCCGCTAACGATTTCACATTTGTACAACGAGGCCGACGGCATAATCGTTTGCCCGAATGATGCCCTCCAGGCCACTTGCCGACAGCTTTTCAACTCCCAGCGGGTCTCCTTCAAGGAGCTGAACGACGTTGCAGCGCGATCGTTGTCCTCCGTGCTCCTACCCTCTTTTGTCCGCGACGTTTCGTCATCGATCACAGAGGACTGCACATCGACATCGGGCGGACGACACAAGCTCCATCTTCTTGCTGATGTGGCTTCTCATCTCTGTGCTCATCCCGGTTACAAACTACTGACAATCAGGTGCTTGCCCCAGATTCCCACCCCATCGATCCCATTTACAACCTTCTCATGGGGTGGAATTCTGAAAAGTCTCAAGCAAATGCATGTACGAGGTTCACTGATTGAACATGGTCTTGATTGGACAACCCCTCCTGGGTTGTTGTCATCATTCTACCACGCAGAGACCACACCAACCTGTGGGTGGAAGATCGAAGGAGGAGGACAAGGAGTGGAGAGAGGAGCAGGTGGAGGAGGAGGAAGAGGAGGAGGAGGAGGAGTGGGAGGAGAAGGAATTGTCGAGCAATCACCAGGGACCATGTCGTCCACCTCTTCGGCAAATCGAGCTCTTGCAAGCATGTTGTTTCTTCGGGGGAATGAGGCAATGGTAGTTGACGCATCGATGTTCGTCGACCCATCGCTTCATCCACTTTGGGCATCAGATCCGCTCGTTGTGGCTGCTCACCCGGCATGCGCAAACAAGTATGAGATGTCGGCCAGTCTGCTAACCAACTGCAAGTCGGTGGTGACCCGGGTCGAACGTATGGTTGAGCGATCGTACGATCTCTTTTCCACAAAGGCTTACCTACATCAATACCATGCGTTTGGAATGGAGGAATCTGATTTTGAAGAAGTGTACACATCACTTGAGGATATTGTTGCACGATATAGAATGCTGTGAAGAAGCATACACATCACTCGAGGATATATTGTGGCACGATATAGAATGCTGTCATTAGTCGATGGAATCATTTTTTTTTCTGGAACACATTCATGTTTATCGGTGACGTCTGATACGTCGCCGATCTATCTTTCCTTGTTTTTTTTTTTTTTTTTTTTCTTTTCGGTCCTCCCACTGCACGGCTAAGCTTGCCATCTAAGGGCGAGATCCCACTGGCAAAGAGAATTGGAGTACGTTTCTGAATCTGGACATGTTTGTGAAGAGGTGCATAAAATTGTGATTGATCTGCTTTTCTGCATCTGTGTGGAACATGTCCAGATTCAGACACTTTATTCCAATCCATTTTGCCAGTGGGATCTGGCCCGGTTACTAATACTCTTTCTTTGCACAACCGAACTGTGATGCGAGCAATGGATCCGTCCATTGCCTCTTGAACCTTTTCAAGCCGTCAATACAGAGTCTGACGGCAAAGCGCCAAATGGACCGATGTACCTCTCTCTCCCTCTCTCTCTCTCTCTGTGTCTCCCTCCTGCTCTCTCTCTCTCTCTCTTTCTCTTTCTCTTTCTCTCTTTCTGTCGACGAGATGCTCACATAGCATCCTTAGAGATTCTTTACCCAATCCGGTCGGCTTCATGTTTTCCCCCCATTTACATAGCCATTACATAGCCATCCTTAACCAATTCAGTCCACCTCACTTTTCTCACACATTTCTTAATGGAGAAACATCACTACTTTCTGGTGCACTTTTTTTTTTGTTCTGTTTTGTTTTTTTGCTTTTTGTTTTTTGTTTTGGGAGGGCCTCACTTCTTCATGCACTGTTACAACTTTTTGCTTTTTGTGGACACAAATCGCGAAGGAGCAATCAGTTTCGCAATGGTAGGGCAGCTTGAGCCTATTTCTCAGTTGTATTTCGCACCCTTGGACATCGGGTGTGGCTCTTTTTTTTTTTTTTTCCCTTAAGGATGTGGCGATTTTTTTGTTTTTGTTTTTGTTTTGTCGTCAATTATAATCACACATTGCATGGATAGTATATGTCTTGTGGTGACAATTTTATCGTTTCAAGATTTGTAAAGCCATTTATTATGTGGGCACTTGTAAAATCAATTGCTGTGCCCACTTTGTGGGTACCACTTGACAGGTGCTTATTTTATTGCAGTGATACCATCATTTTTTTTTTTTTTTTGTTTTTTTTTTTTTTTGTTTTTTTTTTACTGGGAAAACCCGGCGGGTTGAGGAGATGCTCACTTTCATTGTCTTCAAGTTTTTTGTTTGTTTAAGAAACAGGTCGTGCTATCGATTGCAGTCTTGTGTCGGACCTCTCTGTTTTGACAAAGAAGTTCTTTTACACTTTGAGGATCAAGCCTTAAGAACTGACTGCTACCAACGGTCCGAGCCCGGTTGGTACACCCGTGAGCTGTTGAAATACAGACCCAAGTTGCAATCAGATTCTGAATTACCCAGGGCAGATCGGTTCAATGATGATATCTCAAGGTCGTCACCCTAAAAAAAAAAAAAAAAAAAAAGGACAAAAGAAAAAACAAAAAAGAACCTGTACTGCTTTTACACTACTGAGAGGAGGATTCTGGATTTTTGAAAGTTGAACTGAAAGTTGGAAGTAGGAAGTTGAATGTTGCAAATTCACAGTTAACAACTTAAAAGTTAAAGCTTAAAACTTAAAAGTGCACCACACACTGTTTGTCACCTTGAGCACACACACACAAAGAGAGATCACACGAAATCCACACTGTTTGTCACCTTGAGCACCTTGAGCCACACACTGTTTGTCACCTTAAGCACACACACACAAAGAGAGATCACACGAAATCCACACTGGAGACCAGAGATGCACAGTCCAGATAAACGCAGCTTAGAAATTCCAACGAATTATCATTATATTGAACAGTTTCTGAGTTCCGGTCACGAAGTGCTCATCAGGGCAGAGTTCAGCAACCCATATCCAGCATCCCCATCCAAGGTAGCTGACTCTCTCCTCCCTCTGTCTCACTCTCTCTCTTGCTCTCTGTCCCCATGTGTCCTCTCTCTCTCTCTCTCTCTCTCTCTCTCTCTCTCTCTCTCTCACTCTACATCAGGATCTTGACTCTGGATACATCCGCTACTACTCAGCTCTACCTCCTACTACTAGCTGTGCGGCTATGGCCACCTTCCTTCCTCAGCGCAGTGCTGCCCGGCCAGGGGTCCAGCGCTAGCTACTCGTAGATAGCGCACAAGCGCCTCAGCAGCACTTCCACGCTTCTTGCAAAGGAGCAATCTGTCCGAAATGTGGCTGGCCAGTCCTTATATTGACTTGGACTGAGCCTTGACTCGTCCCAGCCTCTGCTTCTCTCGACTTGACTTGGGCCCGCTACCAGCTGCCCGCGGCCCTGTTTGCTTCAGAATGTGAGGCCCGGTACCTTCCTGGGTTTTCCTTGGCGTGCTGCTGCTTTTGGGTCTGTGGGACGTGAACCTTGATTGTGAGTCGTGAACTCTGCCTGCAGGATATGACCTTTGACTGTGAGACATGACTTTTGCCTGTGAGACACGACCTTTGACTGTGGGACGTGACTTTCGCCTATGCGATGTGACTTTTGCCTCTTGGATGGGCACTTGTTGGCCGGGCACCTGTTGGACTTTACCTCTGGGGTACACGACGTAACCTTTCTGAAACTGGCCGACCTGGCCTCGCTCGGCCTGGGAATCTTGACGCCGAGATTCGAATTCGGGGTCTGCATCATGGGATGCCTTTCAAAAGTTGACTTTGAAAGTTATATAAAACGCCGTGTCATGCGAGGAGTGGTCGCTAGCACAAATGTTAAATCCTGTTGAGTAATTGAATTTGCTGTAAATTTTGCTTACAGTTGTGAGTTTTTGAAACTTGTAGTGATTTTTGTTTGCGTCATCATCTTGGATCCGATCGGCGCTTTACGCAGTCGGTCGTGCAGACGGTTCATTGTCGTTGTTTTTATTTTATTTTTTAAAGGGAGCAGCCCCGAACATTTTATTGTAATTCATCTCGTTTCATCATCGGCACTGCTTGTCACTATCTGTTTTTATTACTTTTTAATACCTTTATCAAGTTTTTATGAACAATTGCGAGTGTGTATAACTTAGTTACACGAGCTCAGTGGTAGTTGTTGTTGTGTTAGAAACAGGTCTGTTTACCTTGTTTTCAATTGCAAATTTGCCCCTCTTGTATTTGACCTGTTCCCAATATGATTTGAGTTATTTAATGCATAAGAGGAGAAAATCTGGGTTGGTGGGTGCATGCAAGCACTACTCCTAGTCATTTTGTTGTGAACATAAATTCTCGAGTCGATGTTCCTCCACGCGCAGGGTCCCGCGGAGGGGGAGGGGGAGGGCGAGGGGGGAAAGAAGGAGGGGGGGGAGGGGGGAGCAGAGGGAAGGGGAGTGATGCACGGTGAAGGGAGATGTGGTACTTAGTTGAATGGAGGATTGTCGTCGTACGTCTGATTCCCTCTGCTCCTCCCCCCTTTCTCCTTTCCCCCTCTCTTTCATCTGATTCCATCTGCCACGAGCTCACGTGCCGGGCACCGCTATCATGAGTTGACATGGGAGTGATGCATCTGCCTGGCATGTGAGCTTGTGGCGAAGTTGTCGTCTTTTCTGGCATTAAACCACATTCAGTACCTCGCGCAGGCAAACTTGAGAATCGGAATTGCGTCAATCCGGGTTCTTCAGATGAACAGTGGTGCTACTGGACTAAAGTGGCTGGCGGCACCAGCCAAAAAGGGAAAAAACTGCAAAAAAGTGTGCTGCTGGCCGCTCGTTTTTTATTACCGTGCCGCTGTGCAGTGCAAATCTGCGTCGGGAAAAGGGCTTGGAGGTACTGCCGTCTTCCCCCCCCGAACAGAACACATATCGAGCTTTTGAAAATTTTGAAAACTTGAATAGAATGCATATGCGTTCTATTCGGAAATACGGGCTGTTCGATATGCGTTGTACTCGAATAGAAAGTGACCTATGCGTTCTCTACTATTCGTTTACAATGCATATGCGTTATGTTCGCGGGCCTGCCCCAAGCAATTAAAACAATTATTTTGTTCTATTCATCCGATGGCATCTGGATTTGAACTTGGGTCTGATTCATATTTCAAAAGATCATGGGTACACCAACTGAGCTAGGCCCATGGGTGGTTGAATGGTGTCTTCTTCTTTTTTTTTGTTTTTTGGTTGAATGGTGTCTTGATGGGTCCCTGCAGTGCTTTTTGAGTGGTGTTTTTTTTTGGTGGCGGCCAAGAGTCCACGAAGAGTGCACAGGCCTCCAGGCAACTGTTAAAATCTCCCTTCTCCCTTTGCATGGCACTTGGGCCAATGCCATTAAACCACAAGTACATGCCTCACATCGGCGGTGGCCGTGTCAGAGGGCCGAAATGAGACGCTGGCCGCCAATTTCTTTTATCGATGGTGTGCCGGCGCCCACTTTTTCGTTCGGATGGGCGACGAGTTTCTTTTCAGCAAGGCTTGGGCAGTGTGCTGGGGGTTTAATGCGGCATCTAAAGGTCAACTGGTTCGTTCTTGCCTGACGTCTGAATATCGTTTCCTTGGCAATCTTAAACCACCAGTGCTTGGCCCAGCTATCGGCCGCGGGGAAAAAAAAGGTAGAAGTGTTTCTACTCGGATGAATTTGGGCGCTCCTGTAGTGGCCCGTACGTTTCCTAAAATTGTGGCTTGTTGACAGGGATGACTTTAGGAAGTACTGGTGGTTAAAACCGCTAGTATGCGGTCCCACCCTTGTGTAGATTCTCTTGTCACTTAATAAAATTTTGCCCTTGGGCCTATAGGACCGCAATGGTTGATTTGCTGCCAGCCAAAAAAAAAAAAAATGCACCTCTGGCGGTTCGGGAAAGCCCGGCGCGCAGTGCAGTCCCTCCAGGCCTGGGTGTACCGGCGGTTTAAGTGCCGACTCATCTGATGAGAGGCAGTGGAGGATCATGTCAGATGCATCTGAAGGTCATGCCAATTGGGCTGATTCTGGTCTGCTTCCAAAAAAAAAAAAAAAGACCCTACTGCTTCTGATCTGTGCAGCCAGCCACTTCAAGTGGGA